GTACTTTTAAGCTAATATTGAGAATATATCTGAGAAAATTTGAAAAAAATACTGCAAATTGTTATTTTCTAAATCAAATTAACTAGTACAGCTTGTTTTTACTAAAATACAAATTTATTCTGTCAGATTTACTTTCAATAACTTTTTTCTATCTTTCAAACTTTATAATTTTTTTCCATTTGAGTTTATCCATTATTGATAAATTTATTATTTATCCGTAATCAATATTAATAATTATGATATTTGCAAGAACATAAAAAATTTCACTTTCGCAGTTCAGCTTTTTGAAAAAATTTTTTAACTTTACTTTTTGAAATATTAAATATTGAAAAAATTACCGCCAAAAACAAAGTATAAAGTGAATAGAACTGGATAAAACATTCTGAAAGCTAATCCAAGCCAATATTCATGAAAAGCAGATGACAAGAAGAATACCAGTGTTTGCGCGACTATGACACCTTTTTTGCCTCCAATTAGCTAAAAAATCAACAACTTTTTAGCAAAAAAGGCTCAAATTTTTGTAATTGTTAACTAGACAATACATTTAATATTAACTTTATAAATTGAAAAAAGTTTTTTAAAATTAATAAAATTACCAAAGAGATGTCTTTGTAAACGTAAGCATACAACCATTCATATACGACTAAATTCCAAAAACGATAATATTCAGCCATTGATTTCGCACTCCACCAATTCTAATAAAAATTATGACAAATTATTAAATATAAATAATTTTGTATTATTATTGATTTTCTTGATAAATTAATTACATTCATAAGTATTATTGAATCATAACTTATCGTTAGACAAATTTTTTGAAACATATTTCGAATTTAAAAACCAATTTACCAAATAAAATTGCCGATCAGCATAGCGCAATAATTCAGCGAACATATTCAGCCAGCAATGCAAAAGACCATAGAATAAACTTATAAGGCATAGCATTCCAGGTAAAACTGACGCAAGCACATTACTTATTATATCTGAGAGTGATACCGTAGTTAGATCGACTATCATAAATCGAGGTAGAATCATCTAAGGTATTAAAACTTTTATGAAAAAACTAAGAATAAAATTTTGACAAAAAAAAACTTTTATGAAAACTTTTTTTTAAAATAATTTTTATGAAAACTTTTTTATCAAAAATTGTCAAGTTTTGTCAATTTTTTTTAAATGAAAAACAAGAATACTTACTTGTACAAAAACAAGATTTACAAAATAAAGTGTAAGTAAAATTTGTGTTGCGTAGTTTCTCACTTTTTTCCAGTTGCAAGATGAATTTCTAAAATTAATTAATTAAGAGTGATATTTATTTGAAGTAAATAAATTACAAATTGAATGAACTTTGATGAATTCGTCAGAAATAATAAAATTGTTTTATTTTCAAAGTTTTGCATTAATTATCAATTATTCAACCAAACTCTCAAAAAATGTAATATTCTTTAGAGTATGATCAAAATTTATCAGTTTTTAAGCAACTTTATCATTATTTTTATAGATTTTTCCAATATATTTTAGTGATTAATTTTTTTTTTTTGGTTTTTTCCATATTTTTTGGTAAATTACTTAAACTATTAATTTCAAAACGTAATAGCAAATAATAATATTAATTAAAAATTAAACAAAATAAGCATTAGTTCAAACAATTCTTTAAAATTTATTAATATTCTGACCCAAAAATTTTTTATCATAATTTATGAATATTATAACTGATCTGCATAAAGTATAATTATAGTAATGAGTTAAAAAGTAAACCTTGGATAAGACTGCCGATAAACTAATGAAGGGCAGAATAGAAAATAAACGTATTGGCTAAGTGTTGGAAACTTTTTTGAACTATTTTCATTTGTAGCATATTCAGCTTCTTCCTAAAACTGTGTAATAATATATAATAAGCTTGCTGTTATTTGTAGTAATACAGTTACTGCATAATTATATAGTATAAATAATGCATGAAAATAAAATTAATCAAAAATTAATTACTTAAATAATTTGTATTACTTCAGTTTAAAAAAATTACTATTTTTCATGCAAATTTTTGATGAAAATGTATAAACAATACTTTGTTGTAGGCATTTTTATCAACTTGCGCTTTCAATGCAATTACCAATGGATATATTTCACGTACAAAAGAATGAACTTTCATTGCAAATCGTGTCTGAAATTACGTTGAAACCCCGCATATTTCGACTTTATGAGTATGATATTTTGCGTCAAAAAATATTTTTTATATCAATAAGATTGCTTAAAGTATACTTAAGCTAAGAGTTGTTTTGTATCGAAAGTGCAAAAATAATTTTAATATTAATATTTTAACGGTAAAAATAAATTTTTTTAGCAAACACTATTACTTTTCAACTTCAAGCAACAAGTTTTGGACTAACATATTGATATTCTGATCAAATTCTTCATCATTATGTCATAATTTATTAACTTGTAAAATTGTAAATTTTTCAAACAAATTCTTTGTTACAGTACCATCATTATAGTACTATTGAATTCCTATTCTTGAGATTTTTTTTAGAGCAAATATAACTTACAGATTCACAGCCAATAATGAATGCGCAAGCGCATTCAAGTTCCATCATTAAAGTAAACTTAATACCAAAAGAAAAGAATGCAAGCAAATATATTATATAGAAAACAATCAAAATAAGAGAATCTCTTTTCATCTGAAATAATTAAAGCTATTAATTTTATTCAAGAAAATTTGTGCAAAAATTTAATTAATTTAAGAGCTGAATTTTTGTTTATGCAATATATTACTTAATTAATATTTGGTTATTAAGTTCAAAGTTACCGTTCTGCATGACATTTTACTCCAAATTCGTAATGTATAATGTATAAGTAAAGTACTGCTGAATAAAACAGCCCATGATAACATAGTTATTGGTAACTGCTTGAAATTCCAAGCAGTTAGCCATAAATGATTGAAAGGGCTGAAAATTAAACAATTACAAAAAATAATTTGCATATTTTTCTTTTTAGAATTTCAATTTAAGTGAATAATTTTTGAGCTTATTGAAAATATAATCAAATTTGTTTCAGTAAGCTTTTGAATTTTAAATTATAACTTTAAATTTGTAAATTTTGCATGAAATCTAAAAGAATTTGTATTATTTTCATCAGAGTTTTTAAATTTTAAATGACTAAAATTAATTAAAAATTAAATAAATTTAGTCAGGGAGAAGTTTAACTTAACTTACTTGCCATAATTTATAGTATCCTCGAAAATTGTCTTCAAAAAAAGCAATACAAATGCTGCAAGAAACATATTTCTCACACACAAAATATCTGTTTTGAGAAGAAGAATTCTGCAAATTAGAATTTATATTAGCAATTAACAAATAAAATTAAAAAAATAAGTAAATTTAACTTTATTGAGATATTTATGCTTTTGTAACAAAAATAAAGAAAAAAATTTCATTTCTTTACTATTTTAATAAAATATCAAATATTTATTGAAGTTAACTATACGCGAATTGACGTACGTTAGAAGAGATTCACGCTTTTCAAAAACTTTATCCCGAAATTGCTTTTCAGCAACGCTTATTTTATTTTTTCTAAACATTTGCTTAGATTGTTCCTGTTCCATTTCGATTCAGATTTAATCATTCATTAGAAGATTCACTAAAATTTACTATAATATATACTGATTACTTGATGATCAAATAATATAATAACTTAAAATTCAAAAGAAATAATAAGTAGTAATTTCTTGTAAAATTGAATTTTTAATACGAAAGAAGTGTACCATTGATGACAGATATGGACGTATATTCCAGTACAAACAAAATAGTGGAAAAATAGGTCAAATCGGGTGATCATTGCGAGTGAACAATCATATTGTACCGTTTCTAACAATGAAAGCAATCTATTGATAAAATGTAATTTTGTGTACATTTTCTAAGACTTAATTTCTGATAGAAACTGATAATACAAAAGAATAAGCAATTAAAAAATGTAATTTATATTTTTTTAAAAAGTTAGTTTAAATTAATTTCCTAAATCGCTTAATTTTACTAACGTTTTCGATAATTAGCAATAATTATATTCCATATATGTTTAGAGAAAAACATTAATAGGGCTTATAAAAGTTAAAATAAATAAATCAAAGCTATTTATTAACTTGTTGCTGATAAATACCTGTAATTACAGTATAAATTTACTAAATATTAAAATGTGCTATGCTATTATAGATGTGGATAAAGAGAAATTACAATCTTTATATGAAATAATTAATTTTTTATATTTTTAATTTACCTAATTTCACTCAACTCCTATTATTTCAAATTTTCAAGAGAAATAAAACTTTATTTAGTTGTTGTATTACTATATATAAATTTTAATTATTTCATATCTGTCAATAATTAAATAATAATTAACAAAGAATCCAACGATTCAGGTAGTAATTTCATTCATATTCTAATCAAATTATTTATAAATTTATATTTCAAACATTTAGTTGAAAGATCCAAATTGTTTTTGTTAATATGAAGTGAAGATAATATTTGTGTACTGACCTATATCTGGTCACGCAATAACTCAAAATAAGTATTAATTAAATAACGTGTTTACCAAGCAACAATTATGCAACTGCATTATTTGTTTGCTTATTTGACAAAACTTACGAATTTTTTTAAGCTCATTAAAACATATTTATTTTTTCCCATTTGCAAAGTTAGAAGCTAAAGTATAGTAATTTTGGATATTAAATTTGGGCATATGCGTAGTATTTTTAACGTATATACAATATTTGCATACAGTATTTGCGTGTGGTTTTTTACTAAAAAGTTAGAATAACTGTTAAACTTGTTATTTTTGAAAATCCATTTTATTAACTCCGAATTTTCAAATTTATCAATCAATACATGAATAATTATGCAATTATCTGAGATAATCTCATATCTATGATAATATTTAATTTGTAATACTTATTTAATTATTAGAGCAAAATTATACCCGCACGTCTAATTACACTGTTAACATATAAACACTTTATATAATATTTTTATGTGCTTCTCACTAAAGCTTAATTCTCTCAATTAATTAATTAATTAATCTATAATTTTGCCAACAAATTTTTTAATTTGAGCATAAAATTATGCAAAAGGCATTAAATTCTCAAAATAGAAAAGATTGAAGAAAAAAAGCTCAGTAAATTCTTTATTATTCAGAGACATAGAGCGGCTGCAAATATTGGAGCAGTCTAATTTCCACATATTGAAGAGTTTATTTTAAAATTTTTTAGCAAACAATACAAGTGCTTTTTTATTGCAAAAAAAAGATGAAATTTTCACTCAAAATTAAATAGAAAACTGAATTGACCTTTCACCTTTAACATATTAAAGTTAGCTTATTTCCAGCTCAACTTGAGTGAACCAAAAAAGGTACAATACAATGGTACTATTACCTTCGTTAGCGATAATTATCAAAACTATGCTTATATGCTTAGATGTTTACGGATTCATTGCAATTACTGCACTGCTTGTCATCACTTGCTGCAAGAGAGAATTTACAGACGACGAAAACACTTATGTAAGCTAGTCTAACACAAAAATACGATAACGTGAAAGAAGTACCGTAACATAATTGAACATTAACGATATACTATATCATAATAATATGATGATTTTAACAATGTGACTAGATTACAGTGTTTTCAAAAAATTAGTTAAATGAAATATTAAGATATCACAGAATAGTGTAAGAATTTATTCTCATATCAACTTTATCTAATTTACACATCAGTACATTCACTTTAGAAACTGACACCATGCAAATATTAAAATTTTAAGACTTTATAAATGTTTACTGTATTTTGTGTTTAGCATATTTAAAAAACATAGCAGTTACAGTAGTTTGAAGTTTATTATCACACGAAAATATAACTAGATGGGTTAACTTTTGTCTTAGAAAACGTAAAATATGTAATTATGATTTCATTAGCAAAACTTCATTATTACTGCATAGTATTTTATTCTGTTTCTTGTTCATAATAATATAAAGTCTGAAATTGAAGCTAGCCTTGAGGCCTAGAGTATCTAAGGAACTGATGAAATCACCTGCGCAACGAGAAGCTATTGCTAGGATTCAAGAAGGTTAGAAAGTTTATGTTAAAAATACAATGAAATTAGGAAAGTACCCGGTTTTACTATTTAAATTTTTGTTATTCAATTAAAATGTATTCTGTAATTATTCTTATTTCGTTAAAGTTTGTAAGATTTATTTTTGAAATGTTATATTTTGAGGCGAAATGATGCCAGCACATGAAAATGAAACAGTTGATGATGCGATAAGTAATTGGGGAAGAGTACAAAAAATTGAACGTAATATTTAATTCTTTGATATCTAAAATAGAATATTTTAGTAAAATATGTACAAAAGTATTGTAGTACAAGTGTGATATTATGGAAAGCAATTAAAGTTACAAAAATTGTTACAATGCAAATATGCTTAAGCATTTTACAAAAATTTATTACAGTGCAGTTTTATTATGATAATCACATTTAACAAAAATGAGAAATAATGTTATGCAGTATTTAAAAATTCAAAAACTAAAGTGAAAAGGAATTTTCAGCGGGATCGAAAATCCGAATGAAGCAGACACGAAAAAGGCACTTTTTTTGATATTTCTGTTATTATATTAAAATAATGTGGTTTTTATGTACTGTCGCTTTATATTTAATTCTTTGATATCTAAAATAGAATATTTTAGTATGCGTGAATTTTTACTGTAGAATTCTGACGTAAACTGTCAAGTTTAAAAGTGGTTTGTAAATAAATAATAAGCGACAAGAGGTCATTATCAGTAATTGTTCAGTACTAAAAATAATATAGTTATTGCCTTCAATAATCAAAAAAATTATGCATAGAAGTATAGATTGTGTTTTAATTCATACATTCATTTCAAGGCTGCTTTAATCTTACTACTTTACGTATTATAATAATAAATTTATATAAATGCATTAATACGTAGTAAACGTAATCTTATTCCACAATGCACAAAATTGAAATTGATAACATTAGTTAGTACTGAAATTTATATTGCTGGCTTTTCTTATGTACCTTACTTTATATATTACAATTTTCAATTAATATTTGATGACGATAATCGCAGTAAATGATAGTAGTAATCGCAGTAAATGATAGTAGTAATCGCAGAAAGTAATAGTAGTAATAGCAGATAAACTATTATAACATTAAAGATAATACAGAAATTCAAACTTAAAAAGCCGAAAAGTAATTGATGTGGAATTTGAAAGTGTCGTAAATATGTGAACTGAGACGTAATAATTTTTTGGGCTGCTTTTTATGCAGCAAAATTTTTTCTGCTAATTTTTTGATAAAGCGGAAATGACAGTTTTTAAAATATCTCTACTGAAAAACAGCGAAACAATATTAAAATTCAAAAAGTAACAGTAATATTCCATTGTTTTAGACTGAAAATATACGTTTTTTGTTGTATATTAGTTAAAATGGACAAATTAGACTATTCAACTGCTTATTTTGCAAATAAACTGACATTTACAAAAAGTTATTATCAATAATTGTTGAGTACTAGAAATAATATAGTTATTAATTTCAGTAATCCAAAAAATTATACATACAAGTGTAAATTGTATTTTAATTTATACACTCATTTTAACGCTGCTTCAATTTCATTACTTTACTTATAATAATTATAGTAATAATAAATTCATATAAAATGCAGTAATACGTAGTTAAACGTAATCTTACTCCACAATTCTATATTTAAGTAATTATTCTGTAATCCCAAATTTAAGCAGTTCGTGTATTTAAGAATGAACCCAAAAGTCATTATTTCACTGATCTGATCTGAAACTACTTAGTATAACTATTTCTGAGTACAAAAAATTTGAAATTTACAAGTAAACAAAAATTTTTACAATTACAATTAAATTT